CCCTGTCACAGATCTCCCCAGTCCCTCCATTTCCACCAGCAGGCACAGGAGAGGTCTGGATGGTACCATTAATCAATCGGTTCTACTCACTTAATTCACAATACAACAATCAAAATTAATGATTGAAGGGAGCTGCAAAAAGGCAGGTGAGTGCTTGAGTCAACTTGGAAAGATTTAAAGAAAGCAGATTTAAATGGCAGTGAAATGCAAACAGCAGCCAATCTTAATTACAAACCTAAAGCCAGAGTAAAGCTTCAGTGAAGTTTCTCTCTCCTTCACTACATGTTGCCTTTAGCTGAAGACAAATTGCTGGCACTTTTGTAATCTACTAAGTTAAAGTCATTACCCTGACAGTGCCAGGAAGTCTAATTTCCTGGAGCAGTAATACAAAGATTTATAAGGGAATTTAAACACTCACCTTCTGGAATAGAAAATCTATCATCAGCATCAGGCTCCATGGGAAGTGACTGAGGGTTTCAGATAATGGAGAAGAAGGAATTCACCTGCTGACAAGTTCATCCAAAATCTCATTCCCTGCCTACACAGGCTGCTGACCAGGGTAAGTGTGTACACAAAGCTGAGCTTTCAAATGAATTCAGCTTTTCTGTGAGGTCCCTGGTGCAACAAAACAGACTTGTTCATTACAGGCAGCTTTAGCATGGTTCAGTATTTCAGCACAACGCTCTCCTAAATACATTCCCATTAAAATGGAAGTAAGCTTAAGTAATCAAAACAGAAAAGATGAATTAATAACCACTTCAATAACTGATTTGAAGGAGAAAATGAGTTAGCTCATCCACTAGGCTAAAATGGAACTGCACATCTCCTTATGGCTGAAAACTTTCAGCTCCCTAATGAGAGAAACTGAAATTAGAGCTGAACTTCAACACCCAAAGCACCTCAGAGCATCAGCTGTTATGCCATCAGATGTGTGTGTGCATAAACAATGAGCCATGAGATCTGCTTGGGCCAAACAGCACAGAGGGCTGGATTTAATCAGGGATAACCTAATGCTGGTTCCATACAAAAAGCTGTTCTGCTCTTCTGATCTTTCTCCTCCCATGCTCCAGCACTGAGGAGCAGTGGTGGACAATCCAACACCTCCAGATGAGGAGGATGAAATGCTCCCACCTCTACACCATCTTCGAGGGCTGACACACATCAATCCTGACTGTTCTCAGCAAACCCTGTAGCAGCCTCTCACCTGAGACACTGCTCCCCACCACACAGACCTGATCCACCCTGATGCCTCCCCAGAGCACGAGCCCCCTGTCACTGCTCCTGCTCAGACACACACAGGGACTGCTCCTGCTCACAGACAGGGACTGACAAAGCCAGGGAGTTGTGCTGCTCCTGCTCACAGACAGGGACTCTGACAAAGCCAGGGAGTTGTGCTGCTCCTGCTCACAGACAGGGACTGACAAAGCCAGGGAGTTGTGCTGCTCCTGCTCACAGACAGGGACTGACAAAGCCAGGGAGTTGTGCTGTGCCCTGGATTTCACGTGTGCCGGGAGAGCTCGGCATCGCTGTGCCGGTGCAGAGGAGGCAGCATCACTGCCACTGACCTACTTCATACCAGGGAAGGCACTTCAGCAAGACTTTCCCCCCTCCCCTCAGAAGCAGCAGTTTCTGAAAGTCCTAAATTTAGCAGGTTCTGAGGACAGCATTCATAATTTCTTGTCAGAGCTGTTCCCTCCTCTGTGCAAGCTCTTATCGCTTCCCGCCGAAACGCATCCTCTCCCTCTCTGACCATCAGGAAAAAAATATGCTCCTTTCAACAAAGAGGAAACAAGAAGCTTCTCTTCCACACTCTTTCCTCATCAGGACAGCAGTACCCTGGACACTGCCAGAGCATATACATTTACTTTTTAATATCAGATGAGACAGCTTCTGAAAGCACTGCAAGTTCTCCCATCTGACATTATCCAGTTTACCACAGATAACAACCCTGAACTGGAAGCTTTCCCCTGCCAGAATGTCTAGCACATAAAATTATTAAAGGCTTAGAAATGGTTTCAGGGCTGCTCAAATGATGTGCTGCAGCAAAATCTAATTCCCATTAAAAAACCAAGAGCAATCAGGAGGAGACTCTAGTCCATCACTCTGAAAAAAAGAATTGCCTTCATTCATTCATTTCTCTCCAGAACAAACAAATTCCAGGGAAAAAAGTAAAATACTAGCATTTAAACTAGATTATAACTCACAAGACCCTTTGGACTGTTCAGAATACGAAGACATTCCTAAGCTGTTGTACCACCAGGACAGGTGTCCTGAAGAAGGACTGAGAAAGCTCTGCCTTCCACACAGACACCAGCCAGACCCCACCCACAATCTGCAAAACTTTCTGGGTTTATGATGGTTGGCTACAGAACAAGATGAAATTCTTACTACAGAACAAGATGAAATTCTTACAATTAAAGTAATCTGGAGACCAAAAGTTTCCAGAGATGGTAGAAAATAGGTCTGAACTAGTTTGCTGCTGCTTGTTCATGGTTTTTCCAGCAATGTAAGCACACTCAACTAAGCTCAGTGGTCACACCTAAGAATGTCTTGCAGGGAAATCATGATGTCAAGTTCTTGAAAGCTCATCTGCAGATCCATCAGATAAGCTCCATGGATGTTGACTGTGAGATTACAGGAAATTTAACACTACACCCCAATATTTGTTCACTACCACAATGTTCATTTGCTGCATTGCACGAACAAATCTTATTACTGCAGTTTCATTTGCCCACAAAGATTCCAGCTGAAAACTCCCTTTAACATGGCTTTAATAATACATGAAAGAGATTAATCTATAATTGTTGATTTTTGAAATAGCACTTCATTGTGTCACTCAATCTGAGTGCTTCTGATCATTAAAACTTGCATGATTTTTCCATCTTAGTAACGAGGTTCTGCTCAGCTGAGAGCTGATCTCATCAGAGGCAATTATACTCCATGGCAGAGATCAGACCAGAGCTCTTAAGGGTTTTAAAACTTCCATTTCATTTTCCTTATTTTACTGAACAATGCAAAGTTCAAGCAACCTTGTTAGAACCTTGAATATCCAGGAACTCTCATGTAAACGAGATGCCTGGCAGGAAACTACCAGGAAAAAAGTGAACAAAAATGCATCACTTACTTGAGTTTTTTACTCTTGGCACACAGGTGAATAATTTCTCATGTATTTTTTTTTTTGTCAAAGGGCTTCTTTCAAAATGCATGGGGAGCAATCTCCTGACCTTATCTAGCATGAGATATGCAGTCTATTTGACTTAGATTAAATGGGAGTATCTCAAAATTATCAAACAACCTCTTCAAGAGTGTGAGATTTCTACCACCTGAAGAAGATAACAAGCTGTGTAAGCTCAGAGACAGATAGGGTTCCCATCAGATCTGCCACATCACTTCTGCATTGCCACAGCCTCGTGGAGGATTTTTATCTCATTTTAAAGAAAGTTAGGCAAGACAGATTTCTTCACAGAAATTCTTGATTTCCATCTTTTCCCTTCAGTGGCACCTACATTCCAATGACATTTAGAAAGGAATGGAAACACTGAAGCCCTTGCTATATTTTGCATTCCTTTCTTTTCCTGCATCCTTAAGATACCTCTTTGCTCTGCACTGTAATCAACACCCAGCCCTGAACTGATGGCATTCCAGGGAAAGTTGGTTAGGAGAAGTTTCCTGCAGCTCTCCCAACAGGATGGCACTGCAGCTGCTAAGAGGTACATTAGGATCTTAAATCTTGTACAGATTTACTGTATCTTGTGCAATAATGCTCCAAATGAAAATGAGTGTTTAGACTATCCCCTGTAAAGGGTGTCTGTAAATAGATTAGATCCATCTACATATTAGGAACAGCTTGCACTATATATTAGGATTAGCTTGCATATCATCAGCCAGAGCCTCACTGTGAATTTAAGTGAAAGTGCAGCACTAAATATGTGTAATTATCCCACCATCCCTGACTATCAGCACATCTCTAAGGATCTCAGACTGGCCTCTCTTGCTGCCCTCAGATATCAGCAATAGAACTGAAGCACAAATAAGTTGATTTGATCAAGGTCACAAAAAGAGCACAATTCAGGTATTCCACACCCATGGATCTCCCCACTGAGTCACACTGTCTCTTTATACTCTCCCAAATTCTGGAAGCGAGGCAGGAAGAGTTTAAAATTTGTCTTCTGAGGAACACTGAGGTAGCTGAGGGTATTCATGCAGGTGAGGGTGCCCTGGGAGCTGGCAGGGTGGCACTGAGGCAGTTGCCATGGCAATGGCTGAATCTTTGCAGTGACACTGCACACACACTTCAAATCCAAACCTGTGCAAGTCTCCAAACACCATCCAATGCTGTAAGAATTCAGACGAGACCCCAAATCGCCTCCTAATCTCCAGTTAAAAAAAGTACCATGCATGCACGAAGGGAATGCAGATTGTGAAAGATTTCACCTCTGCCAGACCTGAAATACAGAAGGGCAGGGCAGAAGAATTTTTCTGTGGACCTCCTGATTTTGGAAAACTGCAAGTCCTGCTCACTACAGACAGGGAGGAATACTGTGTTCAGGGGAAGACTATCAGTAAAGGCAAATCCCCTCACTCCCTGCCATCCCCTCCAATGGACAGAACATTGAGGAATGACAGGGATGCCAGGGAAGGGAAATGTCAGTGCTAAGAACCTTCACCCACTGCATAAATCCTTCAGCCATGTCTGTAAGGGGGGTACAAATGGAGCTGTAAAGAAAGAGAGCATGTACTCCCCCCTCTCTGGAGCTACAGTCACCTAACACCAAACCAGACAGATTTCTACAAGATTCCACCAATTCAGCAGCTTTATATAAAAGCTGGTTCTATCCAGGATTGAATCCTAGATAACAGCATGCACTGACACCTCCATTAGTACAATTAACTGACTACAAAAGAGAGATCAGCCCGATATGCTCATGTCTCACACCCCTTTAAGAGCCTCCAGCTCCCAGGCTACTTGTGACTTCCAAAAGCACAAACATTAGCATTACCTTTTGCTGCTTCAGACCGCTTAGGCAAATCAAGTGTATCAAAATTCCTGTCCAAGTCTCCATTCTTCTTTCCTGTGCAAAAAAACAGAAGACAAGATATGGAAAAGACTGTCAGCATACTGACAGGTAAGTTACTGTCATGTGCATCTAGGAGATGACAGAAGATACAGCCCCAGAATACAAATCACAGCCTGTTACCCATAACTGTGTGTACCTGCCCTGCAGTCCAGCTGGGCCTCTGTATGAGCAACTCAGGGACAAAAACCCGTGCTGCTTGCAGGCTGATCTGCAAACATGCTTAGGACCAGCACTTCAGTGCCTAAACTCTTGGAAATTTGTGCCATTTCCCTCCTTGGCAAAGCCATGCCTCTCCCTCCTCAGCCCAGTATTTACCTGTTATTTTCACACAGACCCGAAGCCCAGCTGAAGCAAAAACTCGGCAGCAGAGCAAAAAGCCAACAGGCTTGCTTTGCAGCCTCTGTTCTCAACACAACTGCCAGGCAGGAAGATTTAATATATTGTACAGACAGCAGCCAACAACTTAACCTTGAACTGCCCTTCAATTGATGAAAGTGTCATTTTTACTATTTATTGAAAACTAATGGAAATATTCCATACTTTTGCTAAGAAACAGTTTTAAACCATTACATCAGCTTTAATTTATACAATCCTTCACAGAAAGCAGAACAAACCCAGGACTTCAGTTTTAGCTGGGCTGAGAATTCAAGGTTAGGTAAACAGCTGGGGAGGGAAGTTTTCACCTCTTCTTGTCCCCCCAAGGAGACACAGTGCCTTGGGTGAGCCCACATGGATGCTGTGGGATAAGCAGGCACTTTGCCATCAGAGGAATCCTGGCAGCAGAGACAGAGATTTGGAAGGCACTGCAGGAATCTGCAAGGCTTCTGAAGACAGCACTGTACAATTTAGCTTTCCCAAATTATTCTGAGAGGGAAAAATCAAGTTCTTGAGTCCCTCTCCCTCAAGAGCAGAGAGGTAGGTGCAATGGGATGAATTCAGGCAACACAGTTTGAAGCTGCCAGAAGTGGCTTCTGCACAGGGACTGCACCAGGCTCTTAATGGGGGTTCTGCAGAAAGGGCTGAAAGCTCCACCAGTCAGGAGGCTTAAAAGCAAACAGGAAAATGATCCTTGAAAATGTAATGAGGAGATCAGTCTGATTCTTGACTGGCAATAGGTCACAAGATGGGAAAGGCCCAGCCCCTGCCTTGTCATAGCAGGGGGGTGGTTGGTACATGCACAGTGAATTCAGTGGGTTACTCTTGACAAAAGGATAAACACACAGAGTACAGGACAGAGGAGAATTAGAGCTTTTAGATATCAATATGAATATTTAGAAATAACATCAGGAGGAAAACACCCTCAAGGTAGTATTCCATCTACTCCCTTTCTTTGGGAAGTGATGGAATCACACACTTTTGGTTTGAAATGCCAACACAACGCCAGCCAACTCCAACTACTGTGCAAACCAAAACATGCATCTAAGTAGTTCTGCTTATCTGAAGTGATTTCCTTAATGAAAGCATGTAAAAGCCCATCTAAGCTGCCAAAAGGTCCTGCAGCCAGGTACCACATGCCACTCCTTTGAAAGCTGTCTTTTCTAAAGGAAGGGACAGGAATCAGAGGCACTCTGCAGCCTCCCATCAAGTTTTTGCTCCATGAAAGAATGAGAACACATTGTTTGGGGAACCAAATACCAGAGATAAAGGGTGCTGTACATCACCAAAGGATGTCTCATTCCAAAACAGCAGCTGAACCCAGTCACTGGCTGCAAACCCTTGTTGACCCTTAGAGCACTGACAGGAAAAAGCAGGGCAGAGGGAACTAAAACAAAAAAAAAGCATTGAAGGAAGGAAGTCAGTATTTAGGAAAGATTACAGACTTAAGGCAGACCAATAAATGTGACTCCATCTTATCTACAAGTAGGACAAACTGGTTTTTTCACATGACCCCAAATTTTATGTCTCTGGCACCAGTTTAAACCTCAGAACACGTACTCAGAGAGCCAGACCTTACCCAACACAACTACTCCTTGTAGAAGTTCTCTCTATAATTTAAAGGCTGGATCTGGCATTGGTATCAGCCCTGCAGAACTGAGATGGCACAGGAAGAATTCCCTTCCTCCCAGTGGCAGTGTTTAGTAAGGACTGTGTGTCCATGCACAGCTTATTAAGGAAGAGACTGTCCAGGAGTGCAGCGTTGGCTGCTACCTCTTCTGAGCTGGCAATGCCAAAGCAGCTGCTCATTTCCTACCCCATCTTTCATTCAGACAGCCCCTTCCACCTGTGTCTCTGCAGTCCCTGCCCCTCAGGTCTGGGCCAGCCTGCGAACACGGCCCAGCTTCCCCCAGCCTTGGCTGTTTGTCCCTCAGCCCTCTGAGACACTCCCACCCTGCAGGCCAGGCCAGCTGTCTGCCCATGGCAGCAGTTCAGAACACACAGCTCTGACCAAGGGGATTCCAACTCTACAAATCACTTGCTTCATCAAGGCTAGCTTCAGAGACACCCCAGACATTTTCCAGCGCTTTCGTAGAGAGAGGAGGTGACCAAGCTGTAAGAAGACTCCAAAACAAATCCACCCAGAAAGGCAAAGGTTTCAATCTGCAGCCCAGCTGGTATTTCTCCCATTTGATTTTCACAGGGACCACAAATACTGGAGTTTCTAAAAAGGTGACCAAATTTAACAAGTTCAAGAGTCTACTGATGGCAAAGCTCTCAGCCATCCCCATGCCAACTGACAGCACATGACCAGCTTCACCACCAGATTCTGTAGCTCTGAACACGCTGCTCTGCCCCAACCCTGCTGGCAGTGCTCCTGCATTTGTTCCCAAAGGGATGTGGGCACACACACAGCCCACATCTGTATGTATTTGTATTTGGCTGACATCTGGATGGAGCACACATTGTCCCTTCCCAGATCCTCCCATCCAGGGTGTGCTGCTGTGCATCACCACAGGGATGCTCAATGGCCACCTCTGTGCAGGGGAAGAGAAGTTTAAGATCCTGGTTTTTTACATTTCAGTGTCCACCCTTCGATGCATCCCCAGGTTCTCCAAGTTTTCCAGCCCAAGGCACGCCAGGGAAAAGCCACCACTGTTGGATCAGAAGCACAGCTCCAAACTTTGCCAGCAGACAGACAGAGCTCTGAACATGCCTGACAGGTCTGTTTAATGAGAGCTGGCTGTAGGAACTGGCACAGCACTCTGGTTTGGGAAAATTGCCTGACATGAGACTTGCTTGTGCAAGATGCAATTTACAGTCTCTGAAACAGTGGGATTAAAATTCTTTCCCTCTCCCCCCTCACTACTTTTCATTATGTAAGAAACAACCAAAACACGACCTTTGGCATTTTCAATCTGTCAGAAACTCAGCACAGACTCTCAAGTGTGACCCAGTGTTATTAACCACTAAATGTTGTTGCTGATCTTCCTCAAATGTCGTTTGGATTTACCAGATAATCAAACCAGCTTTGCAGCCAGACTGCTTCTGCTGAAGGTATAATTCCCAAATGCTTTCTTTCTGGTTAAAATAAAAGTTGTAATGGAAAGTGATTCTCCTTAACACCTCCTCTACCCCCCCATCAATACTGTGCTTGTTAATACACCCACTGACCCGACTGCAGAGCGACAGAAGGCACGGGCTGAGCTCTGTGTTGCCAACAAGCTCATCCTCCACCAGCTCCCCAGTCACAGTCTGCAATCCGTGTCTCACAGAACACTACCAAGCACCATTTGTTGGGTGCAGCAGTTATTTTGTTTGGTTTTTTTCTCTCCAGCATTCTCCTTTGGCTCAACCCTCTGGAACCCACGATCTGAAGCAAGTGTCACAAGCTGACAATGCCCCTGCCTTCACCCCCCAAATCAGCCTCAGTGACAGTCTCCAGGGCACTCACAGCCCATCAACTTCCCAGCAGAGAAGGCAGGGAAGATTTAGCCTCGAGACCTGTGTATTCCAGCTGTAATTTTACTTATTGTGCTGGGATGAGAAACTAAAGGGTGTCTCCCCTGAGGCACTGAGGGTAGCTACACCCACCTCTTCTGCTCCAAAGCAACAAAGCTGCAGCAGCCCAGTCAGTGCCCAAGCAGCCAAACTGCCCAGGAGCCCTGAGCACACACACCCCAGGTGCTGGGACTCCTGGCACTCAGGCTCCCTGCCCTGAGCACACACACCCCAGGAGCTGGCACTCCTGGCACTCAGGCTCCCTGCCCAGAGCACAAACATCCCAGGAGCTGGCACTCAGGGCTCCCTGCCTGAGCACACACATCCCAGGTGCTGGCACTCCTGGCACTCATCCCTGCCCAGAGCAGCCAGCAGAGCCATTCCTGGTGTGACAGGGCTGGGGAGGTGCTCGCTGTGCTGGGCCCTCTCTCAGGGTCAGCAGCCCAGCTGCACATCAGCTCCCTCACTGCACATCAGCTCCCTCACTGCACATCAGCTCTCTCACTGCACATCAGCTCTCTCACTGCACATCAGCTCCCTCACTGCACATCAGCTCTCTCACTGCACATCAGCTCCCTCACTGCACACCAGCTCCCTCACTGCACATCAGCTCCCTCACTGCACATCAGCTCCCTCACTGCACATCAGCCCAGCTGCACATCAGCTCCCTCACTGCACATCAGCTCCCTCACTGCACATCAGCTCTCTCACTGCACATCAGCTCCCTCACTGCACATCAGCTCCCTCACTGCACATCAGCCCAGCTGCACATCAGCTCCCTCACTGCACATCAGCTCCCTCACTGCACTCACACCAGGAAGGAGGAAAACCTTGGGATCTCTATTCGTGCTGTGGACAGACCAAGCTGCCAAAGCTCCCTCAGAGGATTCCTCTGTCTGCTGCAATAAACAGGAGGATGTGCTGGGGGAGCAGAGGAGAAGGTGGATGAATGAGACCTTCATGTCAGCTCTTAGCCTTGCATGGGAAAGCTGAACAAAGCATGTTATGGCGATGAGGAAAGAAAGTATTGCAGACTCACCTTGATTGAACCACTCCTCTAATTACCAGAAAAGCAGCAAAAGGAAAACAAAAATTTACAGGATGAAGAAAATACAAAGGAACAGTCACAAAGAGGCAGAATTTCACAGAATAGGTTCAAAACCTGAGTATTACAAGAATACTGTAGAAGTTTCATCAATTAAAAAACCCCAATCAAAACAAGATATTCCACTTTCTCCCTTTTGTTCCTGCTGAAAAACCCCAATCTTTTTCTGCACAGTTTTTTTTCTTTCTCTTTTCATTAAATGAAAAGGTGCTCACAGAATTGAGGGGACAGAAGGATGACTAGCCCTTTGCAAAGGTGTTTGAAATGCTGTGATCAATGACCATGAAATAAAATAAACATGGAAACACTGCAGGATTAAGCAAACAAGAAGGGAGACAAAGAATTGATCTATTGTAAAGTCCTAGACTGAAAAAATTAATGCAGGTTCAGACCAGTACCCACACACATTTAACAACGAGATAAGGGAGCCTCTCTTTATGATTTTAAAAGCACATTTACAAACGGATTTTAATTTTTACTTTGTAAACACAACAGTCTGTTACCCTCTACCCTTCTGACCTACATCCCAGCAGCTGTGAGCTCAGCATTATCACCAGCTGATCTCCCTCTGGGGAACAGCACATTTTAAAAAGAGCACTTCAAAAAAGGGGGAAAAAACATTAAAATTTTCTTTGGAAATTGAAATTTCCTGCTGAACACACAGAGACAAACCCAGGCTGTCACTGAGTGCCTGCACTGCTCACTGTACTCCACAGGCTCATCCTCAGCATCAGATGATTGTGAGGCCAATTTGTCCAAAAAGACATGCTTTGATGCTTCAGGTGATACCCAGCACTCCCTGGGCGTGCAGACGGCCCAGAGGCAGCAGACACTCGACTCAGGACATCACCTGAGAGCCCCCTGGCACTGCCCTGGAGGGGATGGGGACAGCCCTCCACCAGCACACTGCCCTGTTCCCCCAGGGCACCCCGAGCTTCATGGCCAAAAATGTTCCCCCTGACTGGGCTGCTCTGGAGCCCCAAAACAACAGGGACTGCAAGGGGCAGAGCAGGCTGGAGCCCCAGCACACACGAGGTTTCCAGAGGGCATCACTGCAGGGTCACTCACTCACTGGGAGAGCAGGCTGCCCAGCCAGGTGGTATCATTTCTTTAGTTTTTCCCCCAGTCATTAAAAGACTCCCATCCATTTATTTTTTTTCCTAAGAATCAGTTTAAAGCTGGTTGATGACAGACTAGTCTGCAGAAACAAGTTCCCACTGATGACTTCCCTAACACCCATGGAAACACAGCATTTGAATAGTGCACAGGTCAGATCACAGAGAGAGTCATGTGCAGCACTCAGCCTGTCAAGCTCAAACAATTCCATGTCAGCTCTTTTTAGGGCCAAAACTCTTTCTGATACCTGGCTATAAACAATAAGGCAGGATGTGTGTACACATGAATGAGGAGAATGAAGCCGAGATAGAAAACTGAATTACTTTATCTCTGAATTCATCCAGAATATTCATTTCTCTAAAACAACAAAGAAAACAGAATTCAGTCTAGAATAGTAGTTTTTCTAAAACAACAAAGAAAACGGATATAATTTGAGTGTCTCTTTGTGAAGGAAACATTGAAGGGGGTTTACTGAGACTATTAATCCTCTCTTATAATGAAACTCATTTGCAACACTCATGCCCCAGAGGAGAGAACAGGTCTAAAAGTGAATGACAATTAAAAGCTACAAAATCATGTTTGCAATTTAAATTACTGAAAGAGTGACTGAATTAGGAGGTTTACATTTTGGCTGAGTGGGAGGGGAGGCTTTCAGTCTGTTTTCAAGTCTGAGAGACTGGGGGCTTGGAAGATGTCCAGCCAGGCGTGCCATGCCCAGGGATGGATGGATGCATGCTGGCCTGGCCTCCTGAGCCTGGCACACAAGCAACACAGCCAAGCAAGTGGAGTAAGCAGAGATCTGACAGATGTAAGAACACAGGAAGGCACAGGGGAGGCAGAGCACATCCACCTTTTTCCAACAGCAGTGTCACCTGTCAGCATGCACCACTCCTATTTAAAACCAAACAAAACTACATCAATCGTGGGAAAAAAATCCCAAATATTTAGTAGTGATGCAACAGAGGGATAAACACATGCCATGATACTGCAAACATGGACCTCCCCAAACCACACCCCTCCACACTGGAACGATGAAGTGCAACCAGAGCAGGACTGCACTGCAGCATTTACCCCATTTCCAGTTCTGAGCTCTCTGCAACACATACCTTTAGCTTTTTTTCCACCAAAACAACCAGCATCATCTTTCTTCTTCTTCTGAGAGCCTCCTGTGCCCGTGGTCTGACCCGCATCTAGTTCTTGGTACTTATCAGCTCCAGGGACCTCTTTGTGGACGTGATAGGAAAGGTTCCTCATGATGCACACACAGTTCTCCACAGACTGTCACAGAGAAACTGGGGTTACAAGAAGTCATGAACCCTCTTATTTACAGGCCATTATACTGTACAGTGGAGGGTTTGGAGGAAATGAAGAAAAGGCCCACCTGTCCCAGGGAAAAAATGTAGCTTTCGAGGAAGATTTAGACAAGATCCTTAAATGAAAGTTCATTCTTGTTCTAAACCCAATTTTTTTCTTTGAAAAGTGAAGCACTTCATAAATAGCACCCATTCAAATTGAAAACTCTCTAATCAAAAATACCACTTGATCTTAACAAAGAATACAATTCACCAAAAGATCAAGCACACAGCAGGAAAAGATCATATAAGGATCTGATTTTAATACAAGCCTCTCTCTCATTCTTCCAACATTTACAATCCCCAAGGGGCCCATTTTATTAAATTTTCTTTGGGTCAAAACCTAGGCCCTGGGGGGATTTCAATGAGAGCACACGTTGTCCTGTAGCAATAGCTAATCCACAGCACGTCGGGTTCTGACAAGAGCAAATCCCTGTAGGTTGCAAAGGAAACCACCAGGTGGTTACAAAATCCACTTCCAAAATTACCTGATTAAGTGACAGGGCTTTATAACTCTCCTGTACGGGCCATCACATGGTGGGACTCAAAAAGAGTAAAATAATGATGCTTTACAGGCCTTACAAAGCAACAGTATGCTTTTTTTTAAACAGGTTAAACTTATGATATTCCTTATGCATATAAATACACTTTTAAGTGCCACAGGATAAGATGATGATAAAACAGGTTAATAAAATCTGCACCAAAAAACAGCCACAGTGAAAGTGCTGTAGGTCTGAAGGTATTTCTTAATGTCTGTGCACTACAGTCTTTACAGATGGTGCTGAATAAAGTCTTTAAAATGGGAACTGACTCCTTTGCTGCTTTGTGCAAATGGGACTCAATTCTGATTTGGAGACTGCCTTATAAATGCCAATTAAGTAATGCAGAACAACAGCAATAATGTCCCTGACAATAAAGGACTGTTCTCCCCATCTCTCAGCCCCCAGCCTTTGCTTCCCTCCTCAGCCATGGAAAGGAAACAGCAACACCCTGCTGGTCCCCACCGTGGTACCATGGATACCAGAGAGCAGGATAATTGCTCTGTTTTCTGAGGCCAGCATAATCCTCTTCTGATACTAGCAAAGAGAACTTGGATCCCAGTGCAACACTTCCACCTAAGTTAATGGAAATATCCACTCAGTTTTAATATTCAAGTTCACCTTGTTGTCTGTATCCTTCTTGCCAACTGCAGACTGCAAAGCGTGAAGGAGGGCGTCCACCAAGCCATCACACTCCCTCAGTCTTCTGCGTGCTTCTGCTCCATCTGAACTGACATTCCTGACAGGAGAGAGTTAAAAGACAATTTAGCCCTGTAACCTTCACCACAAAGTTGAAGGTGCATTGATTTATACTACAATTATTACGACCTCATCACCTTGGATGAACAATTAGGAGGCAAAGTAGACTGACAAACCTAGATCTCAGTAAAATATGGGCAGTGCACATCTGCAGCTCCCTGAACCTGAACACAAAGGGGAACACAGTCACAGAGGTGCTACAAACACAGTTCTCTGCTTTCCTGGTGAGTCCAGTGATACACCTTAAACTGGGTCAGAGTTTTCAGAGCCAATACGCAAACCAAGAATTTAATGTCAGAGCCAGTACTTCTAATCTCTTACTACCTTAGGAAAAACAAGCAAAGCCACAAGATTGCTCAGCAATATTCACAGCCACAGACACTGAAAAGGCTGTGTGCAGCAGGCTCAGCACAAGGCCTGGCTCAGTCACACTTAGCAAGCAAAAGATGACACTTTATGTGGCTTTGAATGTCTCAAAATATTGCACAAGAGAATGGCACAGGTAGAAGATGCAAGACAGAGTGAAAGGCTACTGGAGCTGTTAGAGTTGCACATATCAGTGACTGCAGAAACTGTCAGAGGGGACCTGGGAACTTGGCCTTGCCTGTCCAGCAGTCATGCAGCACTGCACACCAAAGCCCCAGGTTTGCACAAGCATCAACCTGTCATTACCCAATAAATAAAATTCAAGTCCATTTATTTTTTTCTTCCTTTTTTTTTTTGAGGGGAAAAATGAAGTGACAAAATTATTCTTAGTAGTGCTTGGTGAACAAACCTATATGGACAGTCTTCTCAAAGCTGAAATGCAGTAATTTCCATGATAGCACAGACAACCTCTCAGGGCCTCTGAATCCCACAAACCTGTGTAAGGTTTGTTCTCAAATGCTCAGGACACCATCATTACCTTCTGCTCTCAGGCCTGAGCAGTCAATTTTTCTTTTTAAGTAACTAGAGGGACTGCCAATCTCCAGGTAATTACCAAACCCATCCCAGTCCCCTCCCATGTCCCTGCTCACCCAGAGGCTGCTCTGGTAATTGGACAGTAGGAAACCCCACATTTTCTCAGACACCTCTCAGAATCTGAAGGCACTTAATTGTGAGCTGGTTGCTGTAACAGCACATTAACTTTCAATTAAGAACACCAATGAAATGCAGAGATAAATGACTCCTTTCCCCACATCCTAACACACAGCCTCACCTCCAGTAACGGCTGATAAGGGTGGGTGAAGTGGATATTAAAATGATTCCACAGGATACATGGGAGAGAATTCTACACGCTGTTTCCCCATCTCCAGCTGCACTAATCCCTTTGTACAAAAAACACAACTGTGAATTTTAATGTCAAGTCTTTATGAAACTGAAATTAGAATTCAAATTCTCTGTGATACCTTTCAGGAGTTATAACAATAAAAGATAGCAGCTCCACCTCCAAGCACATCTGTTAACCTGGAACATTACTTACTAAGCTTCAGGGTGACAGAAGTGCACTATAACTGGTCTTATCTGGAGCTGTGTATCACGTTTTTTATTCCCTCATTAAGTCTTAAGAAAGAGAGTTAAAATTCATAAGCAACACTTGCAGACTTTTAAAAAAAAAAATCAAATTTAGCCAAAAAAAGCCCAACCTTCACACCTTTCTTGCCCCACGGCCCATTCTCAAGAGATTTTTCTATGGTCCCTTTGTGCCACTGCACATTTGTTTTACTACTTTAGTTATCAACAGCATCACAGTATTCTGTATCCTGTTTTCTTATTTCTTGATCTGTATTGGGATTAATATTAAGGTAGACATTGATAAGGTTATAATTGAAAAAGATATTATAAAAGTGCATCAGTAGGAGTGTGGCTTGCTGATACCACTTACTGTCTCTTTAACTGCAGAAAAATTTACTGAAAATTAATGCCTGAAGAAAAACTTTCCACATATATCACACATAAATAAGCATGAAAACTCCGCAGGATCAAGTTAAGAGCTAATTAATGCTACGGCCAAGTTTTGCAACCATCAAACTTTGCAGTTTTAATGTTGTAACTAACACTTCAGAAAACAAATCCTGATGAGCATGTCATGCAGAAACATCTGCTCTGTGAACACCCAACTCTTGGGACTTTGTTAGTCCTCCCTCCTTGGGCAGTGAGGTTCCTGCAGCCCAGGGGGCTCCTCTACCACGGAAAACCAAAGCCCATTTCCTTGTTTGTGGCTGTGACCCAGACCCACAGCAGAGCTCAGCTCTCCTTCCCCTCCCAGCAGTCCAGGCTGAGCTCAGAGCACTGAGCCCAGAGAGATCAGCTCCTGCCTCCTGAGTCTGCTCCTGCTCCAGCACTGCACAAGGCAGCAGAGACCTCCCAGGAACTGGGGGAACACTTGTGTTTCAGATCCAGGCCCAAGGATGCCAAACATCTCTAAGCACTGAGCAAAGCTGAGCACAGTGAAAATGAAGACAGTACACTTGGACTAAATTCTCATCTGGCAATCCCAAAAGTGCTCCCAGGAGTGATTTCCATAAGCCAGAGTAACCTGCTCAAGTCCCTGCAACCCAGGAAAATGGCAGGCTGCATTTATGCCTCGGGGTGTTAAGATTCTGTACTATCCTTGAAAAACATCACCCAGCAGTCATCAGTCAGATTCCCAGCTCCAGGTTCCCATCAGGAGGGGCTGCAGCACGGAGCCAAAGGGATGACATGGGCCAGAGGGCTCCTGCTGGCACTGCTCACCACTGGGGACAGGAACTGCAGTGGAACAGCCACCCTGACACTGCTCCACTGACCACAGCCACAACAATCCCTTTGCATCTGCACTGGAATTGTTCCTGGTGCATCCTACAGATCTATTGTATGTGATGGAATGGAAGATGTAACTAAACCACCTTCCAAAGCAAACTTTGAGAGCAAGGTTTCTAATCATCCTTCTCCCCAGAGTGAGGGAAATCACCAGAGGCAGCCAGTGCCAGCCCACTTCCCAGAGGATCTGCCATTGCTGGACACAGGGAACACTGCACAGAGGGAATGCACAGCCTCACCCAGGCCAGACACCCCTGGGAACTCAGGCAACAGAGACACACAACACGTGGCATCCAGACTTGGATAAAGCACAGGGGTTTGCTTTTCACTGAACTGTCCTACACACTGGACAAGTATTGCTTTATCCCAGAAGAAAAGTCATTCTTCAGTGGCTGGAGTGTTTCACACAGGACACTGAACAGAAAAGAGCCAAGCCCCCAGCTGAGGGGCTGTGCACCCCGTTACTCAGGAGCCAGGCTGCCATGCAACAACTGCAATGGCACAGAGACTTCAGAATTAAACATGTGAGCTCACTGAGCTACTTGCTGGGGCAATTCAGTATCAAAAACCTCTACAGATGTCAGTCAAAGATACTTTTAAAGTCTGAATGCCTTGAAGAAGGAACTCTGCAGGGCCTTCAAGGAACTGATGACAGGCAAAATCCCATCAGAAATGAAAATAAAGTTGAGTGCCTGTCCAAATGGGTGGGAATGGTGAGGAGGAACTACCCAAACTATTTTTACACAGGCCAGTGACAAATGAGACCTGCCATTCACCCCTGGTGTTCAGCACAGTCTGCTTCCCTTGCCTTGTCTCTTCACCCCCAGAACAGCCTCTGCTGCCTTCCCTGACTTCCCCTGCTTATCAATACTTTTCCAAGAGTTTATTAAATGAAAAATGTATTTTAAAAACAATAGTATCTTTCTTATGTCACACTGCAAAGGCAGTAACAACCTTCACAGTGTGTTTACTGTAAATATATACAACACACTCTGAAGAACAATTCTAGGAGTAAACCACTGAATTACTGCCCATGTGACTCAAAGTACACAGGAAGGAAACCAAATATATGACTGATTTTATGTAAAACAGTAAAGCACAAATCTCATTCCAGAGATTTTTAGCTGGAAAAAGCAACCTGGATTCTTCCTCAAATTCTCAGAGTCCAGTCAGTAGCCAGGACTAGTGAAAGAGGATTTGTGAGGATGTTAAAATATATGCTTTCCCTGGGAAAACAAAACAGAGAGGCACTAAGTAAACGTTAAATAAAAGTAACTAACTACCAGCATAGAAACACACCCGGCTAAGAATCCAGTCTGTTGTATTAAAGACTTCAGAAAATGGGGGGGGGAATCTGGTGAGAAATTTGTTCCTGCCTTAGATAAGCTCATCATTATCATCAGAGAGTCATCTTAAGAATATGCAATTCTGAATGCCACATTTACCTCTGCAGAACAGAACATTTATCACCCCTAGGACAGGTGAGCTGTTGCTGCTGTCTGCAGCAACATACACATACCAAAACTATCTTCAAGAGGAAGAGATTTCAAAGTAATGAGATAATGGTACTTAACTGGCACTGTTTCAATGCAGTCATGGGGCAATGCCCCCTGTGCTCCCCCTGACACCCCAAAGGCAGAGCAGACACACAGAGCTTTGGGGTTGGGGTTTTTTGATGATAAAGAGAAACTTGAAAATACGATGACCAGAGACACATTTTTCTCTGAACATTCAAACCAGTATTTCCAAGGCTATTGCTGTGTCTGCCCTTGGCTGCAGAGGTCCCTCAGCTGCTGTGCCACAGTGCTGCAGATGAAGCTGGGTGCTGGAGTGCTCCTGGCCACTCCAGGAATACCATCCCATCCCATCCCACCCCAGTTCAGCAGGTGTAAAAAGCACTGTGTTTAAAGATCCCCTCACCACCCCCTGACCAGCACCAGCCCCGAGGCTTCGCTGTCCAGACACTGAGTTTTGTGTAATTCAGCTGATAAAAAACAACAAGCTTCTCATAAGTCAAACAAATATATTAGCTGTACTGTCCACCTATTCTGGCAGGCAGAACCCTTGCTATACAAACACCCTTCCACGCCCACACTCTGCTTCAACAATTAAGAAATTTTTATCTGGATGCCAGCCAAAGGGCACTGATCAATAATAGTTGTAGTAAATGTACTCTATTTCTGAGTGCATTTCTAGGTC